TTGTTTTAATCGTAATATGTACCAGAAAGGAGGTATAGTAAAAAAACTGTTATTAGGTACCATTTTTCAATATGGAGGCGAAGATACCAGGTGGCAAAGTTGAAATTCAAAAAGAGCACACCGAAATCCATGAAATAACCAATTTTCAAAATTCCTGAAATGGACTGTACTACAAAGGTTTATGATGAGTGTCCACAGTGTGTGCAGAATAGAAAAAAGTGCTCTATAAATTATCAACCATAAAAAGTGTATGATAACTAATTATCCAAAAACACCTGCTATACAGATGGGTTGAAAACCCAACATGAGACTGGAGCAAATTACATTACAACTGTGTTCATTCAAATATACCCATTTTCTAGGTGGAAATAGGAAGGAATATCAAACTGAGGAAATGAAATGAGCGGATCAATATATTTCAGATGGCAATCGCGACATTGATGAACTGATCTAGAAATGTGAACGGAACATTCAGGAATCACAGGCATCAACAGTAGAGCGGGATGATTATGGGTGATTTTTAAACTAAATTCAACAAAACAGGTTCAACTCAAAATAATAAAAAAAATACACACACATTTATTTAGCAAAATGAAATAACTACAAAAATCAAATTTTTAGCCCTAATGTATGAATAAAATTTGAGAATCTTACAACATCTTTCCTGACTTTGCATTTAAAAAGAATTATATCATTCAGAAAAATTTTACTGCGTACAGGTATACGGGAATAAGTTTTTCGTCTTTTCTATAGCTTTTTTGAGTTAATACCTGTTTAGATCTAGGTGTGCGATATATTAGTTATTAGTAATAAACTTCAAAAGTAAAGCATAGATACTGAGACCTGGAACGTGAGTCAATTCGGTTGAGGAGGAATATTTTGAAAGTTATATTTCCTGAGGTGTTCTGGTGCCTATTCTAAAGATATTTACCAGGTTTTGTACTAATCAATGACCACACAACGTTCAAAAAGTGTTTTGATAGTTCATCATATGGAAAAAGACAAAAAGAGACAGTGAATCACTGAGTTTGATACATATATATATTAAAAAATTCAACATCTTTTCAAAACAATGATGGTTGTTAAACTTTTAACTATAAATCACAACTTTGATGGATCGTAATTTTCCAATGACCACCTTTGTATTTGGGAGTCACCATTACATTTTTCCATTAATAGTTTATTTTTCAAATTGTTGATAGCTAAACATTTTCCGCTACTGCCATGACGAAGCACTTTCAGCTCACTATCATACTCCCAAAATTGATTGCCTTTACTTCCATGACACGGATATAGGATAACTTCTTGTCCACTGTAATCCAAACATGCTTCATCCCTGCGGATTTCCCCAGCTTTGCTGTACATCCAGAACTGAAATAAGAAATATATTTTAGAGAATTTACTTATATTAGGAGATTAAACATTCTTTGCTAGGTGACTGTATAGTCTCGATTTGAATGTTTGCAGACTGCATTTATTTCCAAATAGTTTGACTGCATGGTTATAGTAAATGATGCCTTGATAACTCACAGAGTCCTGTCCCTCCGCCAAACGTGAGTAAGGTAGTATCAATTCGTTACCCCTTCGTGTGTTGTAGTTATGGCACATATTATTTTTTGTGTAGTGAAATTCATTTTTTTTATATTTACAAGTACTACATAGATGTACAGGCAGGGAAGAGTAAGTATGGACAGCTGAGTGAATGTGTTCTTATATGATTATTTATACTAAAGTCCAGCTCGGCATCTTATCACTTTTTTTTTGGAGTTTGAATGCTTTCATGGCATGAGCTGAGTCTCCCCAGAAGGGCAATACGTAAGATGAAATAGACTGCACACGTCCATAGTATATTGATTTTAGCACTTCCATTGAGACACTTCCACGTAATTGTTTCATTATAAAACATATGCTGCTCACTTTTGTTACTATATTTTCTATTTGTACTTCCCATGTTAGTTTTTGATCGATGGTTATACCTAAATATTTGAAGTGACTTACATACTCAATGGACTTGCTAACCATTTTTATAAGAGGACAAAAATCATAGGAAATGTTTTTCTGCTGGAAAATCATAAATACCGTTTTGGTGACATTGACTGTTAACCCATTATTTTTACACCACTCGGAGAATTCATGTGATACCACATCTTCTGCTTCTACGGAAAGAGATAACTCGTTTCGTGCAGGGTTGAACCCTGCAGAAATCCCATTGTAACAGAAGCAGGACGTGACTTCATTGAATCAATCATTACCACTTGTGTTCTATTTTTTATGAATGAGACAACCCAGTCATTGGAAACTCCCCTGATTCCAATTCTGAACAGTTTTTCCAGAAGTAAGCTATGGTTCACCGTATCAAATGCTCTAGTTGAATAAAAAAAAGCCAACTGGAATTTGCTTGTTATTGATACTTGTATATATGCTACTGCAAAGTTCATTTATTGCTGTTGAAGTTGATCTTTGCTGCCTAAAGCCCTGTTGACAATTAGGAATAAGTTTGTGGTATTGATCATCTTCAAGAGGAAGATAAAACTCAGTTTTATCCAGTATTATTCATTACTACACCAAAAGTTCCAAACAGTGCATCACAAGGACTTATATCTATGTAAAATTGGTAGAAAAAATATAAAATTTTCATGAAATGTTAAATGCAATAGGGCATTTAAAGGTATCAAACAATGTTTGTTCTCTATTTTACTGTGTCTTGATATTTCAAAAAACTTCAATTCCACCTAACAAATCGAATTGGAAATATTGAACAAGTTGAACTATCCATCAGACTTCTTTTCGTTAAAAATTATAACTTGATTGAACACTAGGACATCGAAGTAATGTTTGAGTTCAACTGTAGAACCTCGTATCGGAGAAATTTCCAAGAAAACGATGGAAACATTCATCTATTTACTGTTTTGTATACCAATGGGCCAGAAATCGTCATGGTATGTGTATAAAGATTTAATTTTTGTTGAAATCCAATTGGGCCAGAAATCGTCATAGTATGTGTATAAAGATTTAATTTTTGTTGAAATCCAATGTTGCAGTATAATTTATTTTTTCTGTATAAAGTTATCTTATAAAATATTTTCAACTCCCCTTGGGGAATACTCTTACCCAAACGTATGATCAGGAGTATTAGAAACTCAAGGTTTTGATTTTCTCATTCAACCACTTCAATATACCCTATATACATAATCAAATAATGTAATATCGGGAGTGTTGGAAGTTCTATTCACTGACCTAATCCAAAGATTACCAACAATGAAAATGCATGTCATTCCTTTGATAGTCAATGCTTGTGAGGTAAATTTCGATTCAATATAATTTTTATTTATTTCATGAAAAATTATTGAAACAATGTTTAAACAATTGTTTAAACAATAAATAACTTTGGCCATTACAAAATTGTTTAAATGTAAAGTTACACTGGAATATGAATTTTTGTATATTTACTGCCAATGTTAAAAACAGGGCTTGAAAAAAGATCAGCTTCAAATATTCTTCAGAGTCAAAAATTGAAAATTAGTAATGGCTACAGTTTATAGAATGTATATTGTATATATTCACCTGATTGCCACCCTGGCGATGACATGGATACAATCCCACTGGTTTATGCATATCGCTTTTTCTAGCTGCCGAATCTAGACAAGTTTTTCCACCATATCCAAAGTTTCGTACCTACACAAAAAAAATATGAGGAAGATTGAAATTGGAATCAAATTAGTTTTTCAAATTTTTAACCTAGATGTCAAGGTTAGCTTCAACATTATTTAATTTTCAAGAATTAGACTTCATATTGTGAATCTCAACACAATAGCATATTCCAAAAACTTCATAGAATTGGGACAATCAATTTATTTTTTATTGGGTGTTTTATATATACATTTCAACATAGTGTTCTACGAAAGTGATTTTTGAGTTGCCTCAACTGAATATATTGGCCCCACTGTTAAATTTGACCTTGATGTAACAAAAAAAACGAAACATCAATGAATTTTTTCCTCGGCTTTTCAAATGAACCAAACTTGGTGAGATTTTGATCCAATAACTTGAACATAGTTCGATGGAGTTGTCATCTTTCGGGATTCAAGTTTAAATACAATTCCGATGCCCTAACACTGTTTCTATCGTATTTGTTATAAATTTATATCATATCTATTTTTTCTTCATTCGTGAAAGCGATTTTTCGCAAAAATTCAATGACTTGTACAATAATAAAATGTCATAGAGTGTAACAAATTGAAAGTCAAATTTAGAAACATCAAAGTCAAAGCTTATTATGATAAGAATTAATTTTTTTCAATATCTCAAATTTTTCGAAAAAGAATGATAACTTATGATACAACATTAAAAAGGTAAAATCTGGTTCTATTCAAAACAGAAAAAATCCAATGTAGCGCCCATAAGAAAAAATAAAGTTGATGATGGTTTCAGGAAGACGAAACGTCGGATGGCAAATCTGAAAACACCATTATGTAGCAGGTTGACCTGAAGCCAACACGGGGATTCAGGTGTAATGATAGACTATATACAGTCTGTAAAAGCCAAATGGAATAAATTCATTATTTCGGTTACGGTACATATTTTAACAAAATCCCGAAATACGTCAAATTCAAATTGGCATACTGCAACGGAAAAATGCAACCCCTACTTTCATGACCCGTCGAATGACAGGTGCAACCCCCAATTATTCAAATAGTATAGTATAGGCTTGTGATATAGGAATCTGTTTTTTCGTTAACCAGCTTTCGTACCCCTACGAACGAAAACCGTCAAAAGTCGAAACTTAACACGGGTTGGACGATAGCAGGTGAAAATCGATCGTTCAGACTAGGGCTTGAACCACCGACTAACACGGCTGTCAATTCGAGTGAGTGAACAAAGAACCCACGTCGAACTGCCTGGCTACCGACCGACCTTGAAAGGTTTCTTCATTCTCTATTCAAAAATGTTATCGCTTTCAAGATTATTGCAACAATTGAGATAAAATAAATTAAAATCATGCGGTTACCGAAATTCGATAGAATACACTCAAAACTTATTGCAATATACTCAAAACTTATTTCATGTTGAGGTATTGATAATAAGAAAGTAAGCAAAAACCGTAGCAATGTTTAGATATCATTCTTTGAAAAACTGTAAATAATTTCCGTGGCAACGTTTAAAACGCCTTTTCAACTTGTTTTGTATATTACAACATTAGTAATCAGTATTTTAATTTAAGTTTGAAGTTCGTCAACTTCAAGTCTGACAAATGGTTAGATTAACGGAAATGCATAAAATAACAAATTGATTGGTTACGGAGACAAAACTCGAACATAACAGGAAGTAGTTCGCCAATTTCATTAGAAATTTGAAATTTATTTAATAAGCAAAATAGAGAAACAGTTTCGCGAGCTTGGTCATGTGGGGCAGATAAAAGAAGCAGCTGAAAATGCAGTGAGTGATGAACTCAAATTAGATGTGATGCTTGAGTTAGAGAAAAACCCACATACATCAAGTAGGCAGACATCCACTACATTCAATATTAGCCAAACATCGATTGTAAACATATAAAAAAAATAATATGCATACCTATAACATGATACCTACTCAGGAGCTCATGGAAGACGATTTTGATAAAAAAACGTATTCAATTAGAAAACGTTATGTTTTCCAATGAGTGTACTTTGTCTCTTAACGGTCATGCTAATCGGCAAAATTGCCGCTAATGGTCAACGGAAAATCCTCACTGGATGAGAGAACACTCGCAATACCCTCAAAAAGTTAAAGTTTGGGCAGGGATTGTAGGAAACTATATCATTGGCACCTTTTTCATTGAGGGCAACTTGAATGGCGATAATTATTTGGCACTACTTCAAAATGATGTCATTCCAAGTTTAGCAAATTCATATCTTGAAAAATGTCAAATTATAAACTTTTGGAATTTTTTTCAGCTAGGATATTTTCTGTAACCTTGAATGGATAGCCAAAAAATGTTCAGATCAAGGTTTTCAATTGAACATTCAACTTGGAGGAATTTTCAACTGACAGAAGCATATTAAAATGAACATGGCGAATATTTTTCTGCCGACGAATTATTTCTTCATTCGACTATCCAATGAATATACGTATTTTTTATTTCTCAATATTCATGTTTAATTGGTTTAAATGATTTTATTATAGCGTCAAGAGTCGCACGCGCGTGCCGATCCACCAGTTTCACTTGCATTTTCAGTGTAATTATTAGTGTTTCTAGATATTTAAATATTTTTCAGGAAGTTTTCCATAACTTTTATACTATTTAAGCAAAACTTGGCTCAAATCGTAAATTACAGTTTCAGTAGTATATATCTATACTCAGAATATTTCTAAGATTTCTTGGTTAGAAAGGGATAGTATTCAATCAAGCATTCACAATATTTTCCCATGACATTGACATGATATTGATCCAAATAAATTTTCGAAACGTTTTTACTGTATTCTAACGGGTTACGATGTCACAGAAAACAACCTAATGACATTCTTTAGATCTGTTATAGAATCTAATACATGGCGTTTTTTATGAAATCATGTATAAAACAATTGCTGCAAACCATTGACTCAAGTATGTTGTGGTTGTTTCACAATTTTCTTTCAGTAGACTTTCACTTTTACTTGAGTTAACCAACGAAATATCATATGTGTGTAATGATGCTCTATCTTACAGTCAACCATATCATAAATTATTATTCAGTTGAATATATCGTTCATGATTAATGATGAATAATGCTGATCATCTCAGAGGCAAATTTTGAATTTCATATCCGTATAGTTTTTCACGAAAAGTTTGTGATTTGCAGAGCTGAATGCCTTGTTGTGAATACAGGAGGTACCATCAGGATACTATTCTGTGTTAATACATTTTATTATGCGGTTGTAGACAACTTAGTAGGGTATGCATATGGTGATCATTTTATTATTTTGTAGTAACACATTGAAAGCAACATTATATATTCCACATGAATAATTATGAATATCTCACTTGGGGAACTAAAATAATATCTTTTCAGATCCAGAATGTCAGTGGTTGTTCTCGAAATATTCGTCAGAAACTAGGATTGTCGAATTTCGTTTTTCGGCTCTACCACCTCCCTTTTGAATGATATGAAAAAAAGCAGATGAACTTTCAATACTGTTTCATATTTGTTGTAATCTGATATCAACCAATTTGCAATTCGACATTTTGTTCTTTAGATTTCATCATCAACTTTATTTTTCTGAATACGGACCTCTAGTTTTTATCAGCGATTTTTCTGGCCACTGTAATAAAAAATTCATATATGTGTTTTCCGACGTATGTTTGATATTTGTGTAGTCTCAGAATAGTAGAAACCACTTTTTCAGAACTCAAAGATGCATCAACTCCACACATAGATTGAAAATTTGCAAGTAAAGGGGAACGCCCATGCATTTCAGTGGTTTTATGAAAATATGATAGAACTAGTGTTTGGGAAAGGAAGGTTTTGGCTTTTTACTCTTCCATCTTTATACAAAAAAATGTGTGAATCTTCAAAAGAAAAAAAGAATCAATCAATTTCCAGATGAATTCTTTACAAAGATGTGCAGATGTCCACCATTGAGGATGACAGTATTCCATGAAAGTGAAATTTTACCTCTTTAATATATTATATTGTGGTGAATGATATCTGATGCAATTCCATAACGAATGTTTGAAGAACAAACTGAATAGGAACAAGAGTTTTTGTATAATTCAATGTTTAAAGTTGTTTCGAAAGTATTTTTTCTGTCATGTAATTCAATGTTTATTTGGAAGTAGTTGTTTCGAAACGGCTTTTTCTTCCAGTTTGTGTCTGGAAGTTACTTTTTTGCATGATCTACACATCTTTGTAAATAATGTATTCTTAAATTGATTTCTGTCTTCCTGTCTTTGAAAAATTCCCACATTTTTTGTATGAATATGGAGAAGTAGAACGCCAAAATCTTTTTTTTCACAAAAATCAATCTCTCCTTAAAATTTGTACTTTCATAAGCAGAAGAGTTCCGATAGAACAAAGTTGTGATGCACTGTTTGGAACTTTGGGTATAGTAATAATGGATATTACTGGAGTTTTATCCCAACACCAAACCAATATTTTGAAACCTCGACACGTGTTTCACCTTCAAGAGGTAGATAAAACTAAATATACATAAAATGTTATATCCTTACTTATACCATAGATACCTCTGCTAGGTACCTGCATCTTAATTGTTTCAAATTAATTTTACAATGTTGCCTTATTTACTAGTTTTGAATAATTTTACAATGTGTCTTTATGTATTAGTCAGGTAAATCTAATAATTAAAATATTATTTCAACAAGCTGTATAGTATACTATCAGCAGGTATTGGTCCACTATTGTTATTCATAATATTATTATGTTTACTCATCTCTACATTCTCGTAGGCATCTAGATGCCTATTGTTGTTAAAGTGACTAACTATTCTTAATGAACTGAAGTCTGTGGAATGGTTTTGTTGCAGAATATGATTGGCGACTGCTGATTTTAATGGTCTTCCATATTTTAGGTGTGCTAAATGTTCCTTATATCTAATTTTGATAGATATTTTAGTCTGTCCATAATACTTTGCAGCGCAGCCCTTACATTCAATTTCGTAAATTCCAGGCTTTTCCGAATTCTCGACTTTGTTTTTTGGATTTCCTGAAAGGCTCTGTAGTGTATGACTTGTTTAAAAATCCACCCTCATACCTATTTCCTTGAAAATCTTTCCAAAGTTCTTCGTGTATTGGTGGAATGGAATAGAGATATATTTATCCTGGTTTTCGTCATTTCTAAAAGTCAAGATTTCGTTCATTCTCAACCTAAACGTTTTCTTCCTCATAATATCATCTACAATACCCTTCGATAAACCGTTACTGACTGCTATTTCATGCATTGTCCGTTTTTCTTTTGTGAACCTCTCATGTGTGAGAGGAAAAGTCAAAAGGAGATGTACTAGAAAATTCAGTCCAGCACGTTTGTGCTGTCCACACTGATAATGTAGGTACTTGTGATGCACTGTTTGGGACCTTTGGTATAGTAATGAATATGGCTTTAAAGTCGAATTTACGCCTTCAAACTCGAAATTTTGACCTTAATCTTTACAAATTGATCTCCTAATTTCGAAATTGCGACTTTGAACTAGAAATTTCGACTTTGTAATCGAAATTTCGACTTTGTAATCGAAATTTCGACTTTGTAATCGAAATTACGACTTTTAACTGGAAATTACGACTTTTAACTGGAAATTACGACTTTTTGACTGGAAATTACGACTTTGAACTCGAAATTTCGAATTCAATTTCGTATTTTCGAGATAAGTCAAAATTACGCTTTTGGACATATAAAATAGGTAAACGTCTACTAATATTACGTTCTTTATTGAAATGAGGTCGGAAATCACCAAACTTACACTGCTGGACTTCAACATAAATGAGAAACATATTCTTTTTTGAACCATATACGACCATTTGGAGTAAACGTAAATGCATGCAGAACACAATCGAGAAAAAATATCTTAAATTTCCTTCCAAATATTATATAAATGTACACTTGATTCTTGGCTTGAAAACTTCATTCGTTTAAAAACTGAGTCGTTGATTCAATTGTGAATATGATGAGCATAAGGCAAAAATGAATATTTTCAATGCTACAAAAATTAAAGTTACCTACCTACATCAAATGCTTTTAATGAATTACCATAACCTTTTTTCCATGTAAAATATATTAGTTACATACATCCATCCATCTTTGTAATATATCTTATAGAAATCTTTGAAAGATATCTATCTTAAAGATATCTCAAAGATATCTTTCAAGTGTCTCATTATCTGTGACAAAATATATCTTTGAGGCATTTTCAATCCGTTCCAGAAATGGGGGACATCCTCGAAACGGCTGTCTTTTTGAAATATACATCTCTGGGGCATCTTCATGCTATACCGGTAATAACTATGAAAATGTAGACACCCTGTATAATTGATGCTGATTTGAATATATGAAAATTTTTGAGTTACCTGAAAATGTGACCTACATGGGAACAGGGAACAATTTCAAGTGTGCCACCACACATCCAAGTCTTAAAAGAAAGCTCCAGATTTTCTCCACCCCAGATGTCAAACCCTTCATCATAGGTCCCTAATTTCTCAAAAAACATCTGAAATAAAAACAATTTGTAAAAATCTCAACTCTATATTTTGAAATATGTGGGTAATAAAATGTATGTTAGAATGTGAAGATAAACAAGTCAGAAGTAGCATGGTGATCTGAAGTGTTGTTGTTGGCTCCTAAATTTTGGTTGTTGTAAGGTGTGGTTTGTAACGAATATTAGTTATAGCTTCTATTTCAAACAAATTGCAAAATTCATCTACACATGATTGAAAGGAAAGATAGCCACTCGTCGATTGACGGTCAGTCAATGAGAAATCTAATCACTGGAAGATCATTTCGAATCGAGAGAGAAGCCATCCCGTAAATCGATGTCTTTTGGCGTTCAATCAGAACATGTATACGTGTGTGCTGTGAATTAATTCGGGTAACCGACCTTTTCTTTTTTAATTTCCCGTTAATAATCTGGAGACTGGACATCTGGTCAAGTATCATATTGTTGCTTATATTTGATAACTGATTGAGTAATAACTTATAGCGAATTTCATTAGTTCGGACTTCTATTGTCAAATATGATATAAAATGATTTTGAGTAAAAAAAAACACGAAATAAAATCACAATAACTAGGTATAATAAAATACAAGCGACAATTAAAAATCGAACTATAAAAAAGAAATAAAAATTTAAAGATTTCAAGCCCAGGTACTTTTCACTACGTTTCCACTGTTAGTATAAGCACACGTGTTCGGGTTGTGAGTGAACTTATTTCTTCGAGAGATGACTATTAATAGATCATTCAAGTGCTTTAACCTATCCCCTCCTTTCCGCTTCACTGGTTTAGCGGAAGCTGACCGTTTGACGGGAGTTGGCCGTTTTCCGTTTGATTATGGGTTTCCATATGCTGAGTATTTCTACGCTAACTTGACTGAATGCGTTGTTGGACAACATATATGCGGCTTCTTTGAATTTTCTCCTAACTAAACCAATGTTCCTCCCTGGAAATGATCTCAGCTTGGGACCACTTGATGTTGAGGTGATGAGTCCAAACATGCTCTGCTTTTCCCGATATGCTGGTTTCTCTTCGCTGTGTGTGTTTCTTGTACTCGGCAATGCGAACTGTCAATGGTCTCTTAGTTTCACCGATATAGGATTTTCTGCAATCGCAGGTTATCCGGTAAATGCAATTCTTGGAGTCGCAGTCTAGGTTTGGTGGCCTGGTTTTCGTAAGGCTGTTACGGATAGTGTTTCCAGATCTGAAGCAGGTTCTGATGTTGTACTTGGACCCAATTCTTCTTATCCTCTTTGACAATCCTCTGATGTAGGAAAGTGCAAGTACTGGTTGTGACGGCTTCTCTTTCTTGCGAGTTTCTTGCTGTCTTTTAGCCAAAGTATGTCCCACCATCACTTTGGAGTAACCATTCCGATGAAGATTTATTTTATGATGGCTAGTTCTTTCTCAAGACTTTTTTCGTATTACAGAGCCCGAAAGCACAGTCTACTAGAGCCTTGATGATTCCTCTTTTAGTCGATTGATGGTGGTTGGATTCGTGGTTCAGATACTGTCCCGTGTGATTTATATCATACTATTACTATGTTGCTGTATCGCTGCTGTTCCAATGTTTTGACAGAATCAGAATCAACGAACTTAGGCGTGAGCAGTGTTATAGAACAGTGTAATTTACTAATTGGAAAGATTTGTTTAAGAGCTATGTTCAAGTTTTTGCTATTGCTAATATTGTTAGTATTGAACATAACGATTATATAATCCTGCATACCGTACTGAATGGTGTCAGAAAAAATATTTTCCGTCAGTTCTGAGAGTTCTAGATTATGCTTCACTATTTCATGTATTTCATATTTATTAACAGGAATAGTGTTTTTCAGTGATTTAGAGTTTGCTGAGCGAGTTTCTTGCTGTCTTTTAGCCAAAGTATGTCCCACCATCACTTTGGAGTAACCATTCCATTGAAGATTTATTTTATGATGCCTAGTTCTTTCTCGAGACTTTTTTCGTATTACAGAGCCCGAAAGCACAGTCTACTAGAGCCATGATGATTCCTCTTTTAGTCGATTGATGGTGGTTGGATTCGTGGTTCAGATACTGTCCCGTATGATTTATATCATACTAGTACTATGTTGCTGTATCGCTGCTATTCCAATGTTTTGACAGAATCAGAATCAACGAACTTGGGCGTGAGTAGTGTTATAGAACAGTGCTTTCAAAAAATTGTTCTACAGCGCCATCTAATGGTGAGTTACAGAAAAATTGATAGCCTAAAAACCTTCTCTATGAAAAATTACTTATACATGTCAAGTTTCGTCACGATCGGTTGAGCCGAACTAATGAGATTCACCATGAAACATTGTCAACCACCTTCAAAAATAACCTTATAGGTTGTTATTTTAATCTTTGCATGTTAATTGTCGTTGATATTTTTTTCAAGCATGTGGTGAAGGGTAGTCCCAAACGTCATCTTGTGGAGAGGGCCATAACTGCGGTATCACTAGCTGACTTTCGCCAAAGAGAGTTCGAGAAATTTATTAAGTGTTCCGACAGGTGGAGGACGTGGGTGATGGCGAACATTTGATTCCAGAACTTTCCTTAGGTATACGTTTTATGATTGTTTCAAAACTTTTGATCGTTTTATATCTCAATGAATGCTTATTCAATTTAATTTGAATAAGCGCCACTTGAATTCGTGCACTTTTGCCAACGTAATACAAGGCGATTAATTCCGTCAGCATAAATATTATTGCTCGGGATTCGACGAAGTCGACGAAATCCGTTTTTACCTGGTCATGAGTAGCGAAGGTTCTACCGGTGAAAAAGTTATCGAAGTGCTTGAAAAGACAGTTATCGTTTGGCAAGAGGTCTGGGGAGTATGGTGGGCGAGGCAGAACTTCGACGCTCAATTCGTTTAATTTTGTGACGGTGATTAGTGAAACGTGTGGAGGGACATTGTGGTGGAGCAGGACCTCTTCTGTTGACCAGTGCCGGCTGCTGCTGGATCGGATCGTTTTGGTTACGGAAGAGCAGAGAAGAACATACTTTAAGAAGTGACAATTTCTGTTCAAATCACAGGGCACCCACTTTTCGAGTTTTTTTATTTTTCCAATACTTTTGAAACCATCGAAAACCGCATGGGAGCTGACCATTAACGCACCATTTGTGATGGGTCAGTCTCCACCAGGGTCCTTGAATCTTTGTCTTGGATTACTGTAGGTCGACCACTTCGAGGCTCATCTTCGTGGCTAAAATCTCCAGAAGGAAATTTCGCAAACCAACGTCGAACAGTGCGTTGATTAATACTATCATTGCCAAATGCCTGGTTAACTTTTCAGGATGTTTCGGCAGCTCTTTGGTTCAATTTGAATTCGTAGAGGAAAATTGTCCGAAAATCGCCTAACGACATCATATAGTAATGAGCTGGAAAAACGCAATAAAATAAAATTTGGAAAAAATGAACATCAATGTACGAGTACAAAATTCTCTATCGATCAGTATATATCATGACACAGTAGAATGAATGTTTATTAAGATATGGAGCTACAAAAACACATGATATTAAAACGAATAGAACCTTTAAAACAAACTAACAATTCTATAATCGATATTTCATTACATTAGATTGATTAATTTATCTGGAAAATGAATGCAGTCTGAAGAAAGGTCTATCTGGTCTTTTGTCGCTCTGAACCCATAATCCCCTGTCACCTCCAGATGTCTTTCATCAGTTTTCAGAGATATTGAATTTTTTTTACCATATCATAAGGGTCAACCAGATAATATTTGCAGTCTTTCTAATGGTTTCAACAACTGTATCTTTTTCGTATCTTTGAGACATACAGTTATCAATAAAATTTATATTACTGATATTTAGTCTCACATTTTTTCCGTATCTTAGTACAATTCATCAAAGGAGCCAACCCTTTTAGTATTACCAATAATTTAACTTAATATTATTTTCTGAATTTATGTTTTTTTGTCAAAATTAATATCAGCAACCGTATCTATGATTCATATCTGGTAGATAGCTGCCGAGAATTCATAACCTTTTGTCATACTGCAATTCGTAGTTTTGCTTTCACCTGTAGGTTTCCTACAACTGACATCAATTTTTTATCTTGGTCATTTAATTTTTTTTTGGTCGACAATAGAATTATTTTGATCCATAATTTGGTAATTTCCAATATAGTTGGACAATATTGAGGCACAACTTCCATTAGAAGTTGTTCTTCCTGATTTTGTAACTGCCTTGTAGTTACTGTTAAGAAAACTTATCTGAGAGGGGGTATTTACTTTCAATTACTTCTAATATTTTTCAAATGAACTTCATCCTGTGTATACAACATGTCTTGAAATTCTTCAAGTTTCTGTTAACTAACCAAATCATTATATTACCGTGTGATTCAAAGGATATCCTTCGTCCCTATCCCATTGTACAATATCTGATTCATATTGTTTCTTTGCACGCTAAACTTTGATGACCATCAACCTCCTTGGTGACCACATCTGAAACGGGCTACCAAGTATCTCCTGGAATTGTGAATTTTTTAAAAGGAAATATATTGTTAAATTTGTGTCGGTCCTTCATTTGCCTTTACCAATTAGGAAGGGTATTATATATTGAATATTGATTATCGATTATTGATATTTCATCTGAGTTTATTTTCATCTTTTGGTCTGGCGCCCAAACTTTTGAACAGAACATTTTTTTTATTGTGCCAATCATAGTAAACTTATCTACACCATAATGAATCATTCTGGGCAGCTGATAGGCAAATTGTCCCAAGACTAGGAGGTGTTACTAGTGTTACATCAAATGGCGAGCAACAATTAATTTTTCCTTGTAAGTTGACAGATGACAAGACTGTGATTGACAGGGCTTGATAGATGGCGTGGAAAATGGTGCAGATGACAAATCGGGGACCTAAAGATCTAGGAACATCAATTTGGAAAGAGAGTAGTGGCAAGTATTGTGGATCAAATCAATAGATTTGGGTGGGTGTCCTCGATATAGGAATGGGCCACCGATTTGGATATGGGTTCTTGATATGGGCGTGGACCCTTGATTTGGTGAATGGGTTAAATTTTGAAGCTCTTATGATGAATTTCAAACATTGAATAAGTTTGTGTAGAGAAAACATCACACACATCACAAATATTTACTCAAAATCCCGATTCATAGTTATTTTTTCGATGCACATGATTTGAAACAGGGTCAATAGTTCTTGTAGAAGCATCGATATGCCTCTTGAAATACATCAATCAACTACTGAATGTTCTTGAAATTTTCCTTCGTATTTCATGGTAGACAAACTCCGTAGAAATAAATAATGCAGTTTGTTGTGTTCTTCATGTGAAGGTACTGATCTTTTTCATTCTACGATCGTGAGTTTCAGGTTATGTAGATATTTGAAACACAATTTGGATACTCGTAAAAATTAAACACTTATAACCTACACAAGTAGTATTCATAAATATCCATTAGAAATAGAATAGGAAATTTTTATATCAACAGAGAACATATAGGTTGTGACTCGTATAGTTCTGGTCTGATATTACATTTAATAATTTGCCAAGTCATATAAAAGGCTGTGATTCATTAAATTCATTCAAAAGAAAATGTAGTGAATATATTTCAAGTAATAGTCATCAATAATTCGTCTTGTTTTCTAGTTTCTTGTTTTTAAAATGTGACTTGTCTCTATTTTTATATATTTTTTTGTATTGTATTTTATAAGTGACTGACTGTACTATGAAGAGCATAATTTGCTAATAAAGAGTAATAATATAAAGGAGTAGATCAAACAAAAACTGCTTCCTTATCAAATTCAAGATAAATGCATAGAGATAATAGGTTCCTGATAGAGTTAAACTATCTTCATCATCACTTTTCCAATCCAAACTGTCAAATATTTCATCATTGGTATTTTCACTATCAAAGCAGATAAGTGACAATTGCGAACTCTACATGGAATCATTTTCATTCAAGCATCATCAAATGTAACAAATATTTCAGGCACATTATAAGGTTGATTAGTATATAGAATACTCGAAAACAGCAGAATCATAAAAATTGGTTCTCCTTGCCGAAGTTTTGGAACTTGTAGCCCCTGTAACTCAACTGATGCAACAGGAAATTATTTTGACAGCTTAGGTAGATCAATTTTGGCCCTTTCATCAAATTAAATTGGACGATAGTTCCTCAACACTTACTACTTTCTCAGATCCATTAGGATGGTACCAACTCTTAAGGTTACCATTTGGAATAAATACATCAGCAGAAGTTTTTCAAGGAATAAATAGGTACTTTAATTTTTGGAAATGTACTTGGTAATAAAGTTTATATAGATGATATAATTATTTCAGGAAGCATCGTAATGCCTTGCTTAAGGCATTATGATGAAAGTGAGATAAGAAGAGATGAGTGCTTGTTTGCTACAAGAGGGACAACCCATAGCTCTTACAGACTGTGAAAAAAGATATGCTTGCATTGAGAGAGAAACAGGTGCTATTGTATTTGCAGGTGAACATTTTAATTATTATATTTATGGTTGCGATAATGTACAAGTTAATACGGATCATAAACCTTTTGTAAACATTTTCAAAAAACATCTCAATAAACTTTCAAGTAGATTACAAAGGATGCGACTTAAATTACTCGAATATAATATTGATGTTTCATGTTTGCCAGGTAGGTATAAAAAGTTAATAGCGGGTATGCTATCTAGGGCTTCATTGAAATATTCAGATGGATAATTAGTATATTTCAAATAAAATTACTTCTTTACTGGATAATTTACATTTGTTTGATTGAATTCTGAGATTAGCTTGACAAAGTCCTGCTGGAATATTAATATTGACAAATGGGTCTGAGATCATCTGGAGTGGGCATTTGTCATCTACTTTCTGATGGTCGACAATTACATGCCATCTTGGTTATTACTCGCACCTGGGAGAAATAGAAGAGTATATAATTTCATCTTCTAATATTTTGTTCATTTGTCGTTTAACTTCATCCTTATGAGTTTGTTGAGAAATGGCTTTGCATCGTTCAATTTCATTTGTGAACGTAATTCGATGATCACCTTCTAGGCTCGTGAATTTTCGGTAGACAATATATTTTAGGAATTATAGGATGAGAAATCTGTAGACTCCTGTTCAGAACCAGTGCAATAAAATTTGGACACTTCTTGATCGTGTTCTTTCTTAACTCTTCAAATTTCCCTGCTCACTTCAATAAATATAAGGTAATTCTAAAGACGAGATGTGGGAAAAAGATCTGTAACTCAGCTGTAAGTACTGTCACAAAGACTATATCGGTCAAACCAAGCGAGCTATTGAAACTCGTTTCATAGAATAAGCAGTAAATATCCAATTTTGGAGACAGAAAAAATCCTGTGCCGTTCAATATGCTTTGTAGGCCAGAGACTGAATGAAAACTGTCTAAAATTGTTGAGAATGGTTGGTGCATGATACTAAATTTTGGATGCTTTCAAAAGTCTAGAAATAGTAAAGTGTGGCATGGGAATTATGAACAGTGACAAAAGTTCCATTAAAACACCCCACTGCTCACCTTTATATAGAATATTCTGTTGAAGCGGACACTTTTACGTAAAAATTCCCTTTGAATCTCTAAAATCATTGATTTGTGCCTGAAAGTAAAAGTGTATCCTGTTAGATAAAAATAGAGAACAGGTTTAGAGTTAGAAATTAGTCTACTTCATCTACTGAAGATGCCGACTTGGTTGGTGAAACTCGCGTTGAAAAGAGTGTTGCAGTTCTGGTGTTTGGGAACAATATTTGTTTTGGATTTATTTTACGTCAAAGGTTCTAGTTCTACCTTCAAAGTGAGGATCAATATTCTTATCGAATGCCAAGCTGCACTCTAGTAATTGATGAATTCAAGATTAATAGCGAGGTTGGTTTGGGAATGCCAAAATCTATTGTAATGAAGTTACATTGTTAGAACCAGAAATCAATTGTTGGCAGTAGTTTACATAATTTTCAGTGTGTCAGTTACTGCCCGGCTCAATAAACTACCCAAGATGTGTGCAGCATAGGTGAATTCCGTGAGTGGGGATATGTATGGTCTCAATTCCATTGAATCAGAGAGAGATGAAAAAAAGTGAAAATTTTAGCCGACTGGATTGACAACTTATAAGTAGCAATATAGCAGCAGACCAAACCATAAGGTACCGACCCCAAATACTTCGAAAACAATTAGTAGATATACCAAGTAGTAGATATGTCGAATGTTGAAAACAGTTCACCTCAAGCCCGTGTGAATGCGACTACAAAAGTAATTACATTCGACGTTCAACCCAAGTTCACTAATGATTATGCGGTAGGAAGTGCTATAGATATTCTTTGTATTGTTCTTTATCTGTACCTCTTCTTCTTAGCTCTACTTAGCGACGAGTTGTATTTTACACAGAGGTGCTCATCTATTCTGTACTTGCACTCTCGCTCGTCCGGTATCGTCTGTTGTATTCACCAAGCTGAAAATAACTGGGTTAAAGGACGAAATGTAGATAGTAGAGACGACTAAAGAACACAGTATGGCTTTTACCCGTTTCCATTTAGGTACCTCCATAGTATTTACTTGCTCACGATCACTATCTCCATCTGCTTGCAATCCTATAGTCCTTCAACCCCTTTATTATTGGCAATTGATGGCCAATAACTGAACTATTAGTCTCGAGGCCGAACTTGAAGATGAGCTTACATACACACTGGTCAACACCATTCAGAAATGGAGATGAATGCTCAATTATACTGGTCAACGCCATTAAGAAATGGAGCTGCTTATTCCATAACGAAGACTGTCTGACAGAAGAACTGAAGTTGTACTTCAACATACTACTTCACATACGAATGTATGGTGCTGGCAAACAATTTATGGACAATCCGAACTATATCCAGAAGAATATGAAAAATATCCAACAGAGGTTGTGTATAAACTAGTACAAGACACGAAATTTTTAGAATGGGGAACAAGAAAAAAAAAAAAAAAAGAAATAAGCCATTGAGGCTGCAGTGTTCTCCAGGAAAAACAAGTAGAGTAAAAAACTACATATTTATGGGTATGTTTGTGAATCATCAGGACCAATAGACGTCAGTAATTGCTCACTTATACATACGAGTATAGTCAGGACATATTGAACTGTTTCATGTAGTGTAAGATGATATTCAATTTCATATTTTTCATATATGTTGTATGTATGCATGTATATATGTAGTCGTATGCATCTATACATATAGACAGGACATATTGGACTGTTTCATGTAGTGTGAGTTTAAACTCAATTTCATATTGTTTTTTTTTAATCCGTTGCATATGTGGCCATGTGTGCTAGCGTGTGTGTCCATGTATGCCACCATGTATGCCAGCGTGTGGGCGCGCGCGCGGGCGTGTGTACGTGTGTGTGTAAGTATGTATTTATGAATGGAGTTTCAAAAGTGGTTTATTGATAATCCCAGCTTGTTGTCATTAGCTTTCAAAAAATATTTATCTACCTTGTCTATACTGAACAATCCTCCAGCCATTGTCGGACTCCACACTGGTTCAGCAGAATTTTTGTGCCTCTTTTTTTCATGTTCGGGTACAGCGTGCCAGTTAAATTGTAAGTTCCAATCAAATCCACCTACATTTACACCACTGCTGTCATGATAGTGGAACTCCATGGTTGTGTCATCTATAACGTCGATGACGGGACATACAACAGTAGTACTGTTGCGAGCTATCCTATCCAGAAGAGGTTCCAGCCATCCAGCAGCGCACTCACAGTGGGAGTCAAGATAGGTGAGAACTTCGCCAGTTGCATGAGCTGCCCCTGAAATGAGATATATAATTACACTAGCTGATCCGTATAAATTATTTTTATATCGATTTTGATGCGAAATAAAAAAAAATAAAAAAAATTCGTTCTTCGTTCTACATATGGGGCATTCCACCCCAAATTGGAGAATATTCCGCCTTTGCATCTCCGATATTTTTGAAAATTTGTTATCTTATAGTACCTATTGAAAGAGACCTCCATGATTTTTTCAATTTTTTGGCCGAGCCGTTTTCAACATATCAATTTTTGAAAAAAATCGCTCTTTTTTTAAAAATAACTAACTTTGCGAAAAATGGGTCAATCGGAACGTTTTTTTTTAATTTTCGTTTTAAAACACTCTTTGAAGATATACAATAAATACCTGGATGGCAAGAAGAGTTATGGACTTCTGGCAGAATATTCCAGGATTGGCTCATTCCAAGGCGTTTATTCACCCTTCGAAGCTTGATTCCAAACAGTTGTTGGACTACAGTAGGGATGAACTACGATGTCTACAGGTCACTGTCATTTAAATCATCACATGCAGAGACTTGGACTGTCTAAAGACAGTGTGTGTCGCCTCTGTATGGAAAATGATGAAACTGCAGAGCGTATACTTTGTGCCTGCCCCGCTGGGGACCGAATCAGGTTCTTTGAGTTCGACAGATCCGTACTCTCACCATCTGACCTGAAAGACCACTCACCATACAAACTAATCGGCTTCGTTAAGAAGCTGGGTTTAATTGGCCGAGTGTGAATAGGTTTGAGCCGCAATAAACCCTTATGGATTGCGGTGAAGGGTCGAATAGACCAACTCACTTTAGACCTACCTACCTACCTATAAGGACATTTTCAAACTTATTTGAGCCTTGACCCGGAGTCTCAATCTGCCTACTCCCAAGCGTCCACTGTGCCCCCCTCCCCCATGCCTCCTCCCGGGTTGAGTGCCCTGGGATAGAAACTTCGCCACACAAAATGAATTTTGTGAGTAAAACTTGTTCATCTTTTACTGCCTGAACCACTGTGCATGCTGTTGTTGGCAAGTGCATTGGCTTGGGATTTGGGGGATGAGTAAACCGGCCATCGGATGCCTGCTTCCACGTAGCCCCGCTGGATAAGGGAATGGCAGAATCACTTGTGGTTCTGTTATTCCCTAACTGAATGGCATCCCAATGATGGTTTAATCCTAAGGTGTGTGTATCCGTGCCGAGAGGATGAATGACACTGAGCCTGTCAGCTGTCTCTACAGAACCTTCGAGATACCGGGCGCCCTCTTGTCGTAGCATTGCCTTGTCACGGTAATGGGGGGCTCTGCCGTGATTGACCTTCTTTTCCTAGCTACTCGTGGGACTTTAATGGACAGAGTAAACTTAAAAATTCTTTCTGACGCTGAGTCAATAGAGGAGACGGATGTCGAGCTTACGACTCCAACTGACCTCCCTGTAAATTTAGATCAGGAGCGAGTCTACAGTGGAGATGGATGTCTAGTTTACGACTTTAACTGACCTCCCTGTAAATTTAGTTCAGGAGCGAGTCTACAGAGGAGATGGATGTCGAGTTTGCGACTCCAACTAGCCTCCATGTAAATTCAGTTCAGGAACTTGTCAACTCCCCAACTTCTGATCCAATAACTGAACCTAAAAAAAGGTTTAGTGGTGCAGCCAGGAAACGACTGAGTGGTCTCCTCAAGAGCGAGGTACCTTATAAAACGGCCTTGCACTCAATTCTTGAGCGGCGTACGCAGAATCTGTCTCAGGTAGGGGAACAAACACCCCATGAGCAGGTTAACAAACGTTTGCGCTCAAGTGATGATTCACCTAAACCAGAGGCGAAAAAGCCCTGCACGGTTGACTCTAAGGCATCTTCAGGTGTAGCTGAGGTGGGGCGCCCCATACGAAACGGTCCCTGTAAACCAAACTATTAATTGTTTCGGGAATGTCTCCATTTCATTATATGTATATTGATTAAGGCTGCAGAAGAAAATTGTTTTGGAGTCTACAGGGTGGCTCAAAAAGTGTGACATATTAAATATGTTTTTTAACCTTGTATTATTTCGTTACACTTTTGAACAGGTTGGGAAAAAATAACATATTTCATGTAAGGTATTATGTACCTAAGTGTACCGTGTTAGGAATCACACGTTAAAAGGTAAGACCTCGTTAGTCCTTAGCTCGCACAAGTTTCTCAACTTCTGAGAGTTGTCGTTCAGATTTTTCAAACAGATAACCGTTCTCGAGTTATTGATTTTTTAATGAAAATGCTTGGTACAATGGAAAAGTAAATAACATCGAAATGTATAGAAATCATCCCTTCGAATTATGACCAAGCATAAAAACGGTTTTGGGCTATTGATTTCGATAAAACCTGTTTGTCAGTATTATACGGAATGTATAAATACAAAATATTGTAGCAGTTCTAGTGAGTGAAAGAAGTATTTTGTTGGATTTACTCTGGGCCAGAGGTTTCAATTCGACCATTCAGAACTCTGAAAATGAGACGAGAAAGATGCACCTGAAAAATGAAAAATAAAAACTTCCTATAGTTTTGATGTGAAAAATCCATAGCCACAAGTAATACCGATTGCAGGCGTGACGAAGGGTCGCCATTCGCAAGCTACTGTGCGATTATCTTCCCACTGGTTCGGCGTTATGCTATCGCCACATTGAGCTGGGATACCTTTTCAATTCTTCAATATTTTCAAAATTTGTTCTGAATACTTGATCTTTTATGAAGCCCCACAACGAAAAATCTAGAAAAGAAACGTCCGGTGAACGTGGTGGCCATTCAATAGGATCATTATTTCCTATCCACCTTCCTGGCATTTGTATTGAGGAAATCTCTGCAGATTCTCCTGCGATGTGGTGGAGCTCCGTCGTGTTGGAAATATTCATAAGTTCTTACGAGGCTAAGTGGCAAATCTTCTAATAACTTAATTAGAGTCCCTGATAAGAAATCCAAGTATAATTCTCTGGTCAGAGATGTTTCAAAAAAGTAGGGACCAATCATTTTATTATCAAGAACACCAAGCCATACGTTAACACCATATCTCTCTTGAAAATTGGTAACTCTATGTAAATATTCATTTTGTTGTCGCCAATGATAATGTATATTCCTGTTTTCAAGAGATCCATAATTCCGTAAAGTATTTTCGATTCGTTGAAAATATCTATGATTAGGTTGTCTTCGTCAGGATACAATTCCTGATAAATTTCCAGAGACTTGGTAGCATTCCTCAAACATCTCGAATATACAAATAGCATATCCACTTTTTCGTCATTGGAAAAATTCATGGTTCTCCCTTGAAATCGCTCAACGATTTGAATAACTTTTATTTTGTGTGTGACAATTAACTTGACATTCACATTCATGTATTTCATGGCTTACTTCAAAAAAAGAAATTATCGTTTATCATGATTCTAGTGAAAATTATCTACGACTTTTTTAATACAGTATTTTTATTAGTTGATTCTCGTTGATATCCTCATTTTCTGAACAGAAATTTTTGGGTAGCTACAAATTTTCAAAAGACATTTGGAAATTATGAATGGCTTGGGTATTTATACAAAGATTATTGGTCTCTCTTTTTCAAGACCACCCTGACATAAATTTAGTTGGATTTCAGTGAATACAAATATTAATAATCTCAATGAACGACATTAGCGACAGGAGAACTCTGGATTTCAGTATAATATTCGGAAATTCGAGCTCTTAATAAAAAATGATAGTGATGATGTGGTTTCAGGAAGAAACATCGAAAAATATAGATGTTGTGATATATCAACGAATTTGTAATTATAATGACTACGAAAATGTATAAAAAATATACAGGTCCGTACTTAAAAAAATATATTGATGATGGAATTCAGTGAACGAAACGTTGCATTGAAAAATGAGTTCACCCAGAATATAGAACACATGAAATAAAGCAAAAAGTTTCTTTGTCATTTTTTAATATTATTGAAAATGGAGGCGGTACAGACTCCATTTTCAGTTTTTTGGAAATATCTCACAAACCGTTGATGATTTTATGGATCTGAAAATACCATTGTGTTGCATCCCTGAAAAGATAACTTTTGTTCCATTTAACCGTCCTTGTACGACCTACCGTTTCCGAGATAGCAATAGTGGTATCAGCTAAAAAAAACGGCCTGTATATTGAAACATTCATTATTGATATTTATAATTTGAAATCCTAAGTAATATATTGCAATATATATTGCAACTACCTAAGATTCTTGAGTTACTAGTATAAAAGCCACATTAAAATGTTTTCATATATATTTCAATATATTTCCTAAATTTTCACAAAATATTATTATTGATGTTTTACATCTGCCAGACGTCCCGTGACGGTTCACATTTTTTTCACCACTTGATTTTGTAACTCACGTTACTTCAGTTTCGTCCTATGAGGATATTTTCAATATAATAAACTACAGTAACGTTAGTTATAAATACAAGTGTTAAAAAACAAAGGAAGTTTCATTTCTCATTTTTCATGATGATCTTCTACCATGTAATAACGGCTACATCCATCAATTTATAGAAAGATACACGTTATATAACTCACCAAGCAGTCGAGCTCTTATTAATCCTTCTCTCTTTTTAGCCCTGATAATTTTCACTTTTGGTTCTTTCATCCAATATTCTTCCAATTGCTCTTTGGTATGAGGCATATCTGAAAAATCATCCACTAGAAGAACTTCTTTGATGAGATGTTCGGGAGATCTATCTAGCACCGAGTGAACTGTTCTAAGTAAAACTGACCATGCTTCGTTGTGGAAACAAATAATCACAGAAGTTGAAGGTAAGTTTTCGAAGTAAAGCCCTGGAGTTTTACACCTGAAATAATTATCATTTAATTACCACCTTCCTCTCAAATGCATTCATTATAATGAATCAAAAAGCAACAGCTTTTACCAATCACCATAAATGCAATACTTTTCTCGACGCGCGATTCACTAATCAAGTGAAAACAGTCAAACGTTCCAGTTTTCACTTCCCAAGCCAAATGAAAACTGAAAAAAAACTTCTCAGTTTTCTTCATCTCCTGAAGGCGACAATTTGGTCGATGAAACTCGCGTCGAGAAGAGTACCTATCAATTATGAAAATGGTTAGGTTAATGAGTACATTAACATGGCCATTTCTGACTTAAAATAAAAAAAAATATTTTTTTCTGGGAGTTAGCCACCCATTATTATTGAGGTTTTCCAAAAAAAATGGAGTCAATCTTCCGTGCTAGGAATCACACGTTGAAAGGTAAAATCTCGTTAGTCCTTAGCTCGCACAAGTTTCGACTTTTGAGAATTTTCGTTTACAGNACGACGTTTTTTTATTAATCACGCAGTCCCAGTTGGCTGTGTATCGACATCAGTTTTAGGCAGCAGCAAGTACAAATATTTTTTCTCACAAAGAGATAAACATTTTCTTGTTTTTAGATTAGTGAGGGCCGCTATGATTGTGAATTTACAAGATAACTACAACCGAATTGTTGAAGTTCTGAAAATGATAGACAGTTTTTATTGTTTCTTGATGGTGATCTGTTTCCATCAATCGTTCGCTATAACCTAAGTAGTAGGATGCTAGGAATCTTACTAAAGTTTGATCTTCATCTTGAAGATGATCACTTGGTGATCAAAACACGTGTCGCGGTCTTAAAATAACGGTTTGGTGTTGAGAAAAAATTCCAGTAATATTCAAACGAGAAAAAGTTGATAAAAGTCCATATTTTTGTCATCATTTGAATAGTTTTTTTTAAATGAAATGCTTTATTCAAATAGGATACATCCTAATATATACAACAATGATAGTAATGTTAACAATAATATAATAAATACAATAATACAAAAAAAAACTACTTATATTTGTTAATAAGTAGTCTTACCTACGATAATTGAAAATACAAAAAAAAAGATAAAAAATATCACATAATATCTTAATGGTCTCTTAAATGGTCTAATAAATTTATTTTGATCAGAATGAGACTGTTAGAAGACTTTACATTTTCAGGTAGACTGTTATACTTAATAAATCCTTTGAACATTAATGTTTTAGTGTTAAATGTTTTTGTTTGATTATTTACATACAATTTTTTTCATTCTAGTATTATACTGGTGGATTTGATTATTAAAAATTACAAATTTGTCAAAATATGACGGTAGAATGTTATGTAACATTTTGTAAATATAAATCATCGTTGAATATGCAAGCCTACTTTCTATACATAACCATTCTAGAGTATTTAACATTAAAGATATATGGGTACTCCTGTCACATCTCAAAATAATCCTCATTGCGCGATTCTGTAGTTTGTGTAGTGTTCTCATTTTATTCAAATCACTTGTGTATAGAAGAGTGGGACAATATTCAAAATGTGGTTGTATAATTATCTTATATACAGTTATCCGTGATTGCTTAGTTAGGTGTTCACTGATAGATGATTGTCTAACATGAATCCTAAATATTTGAATTCAGTAATGAGCTCAATTTTATCATTTTCTATTTTCATTTCAATTAGATTTAAATCTAATTCTCTGTATTTAAACGGTGTAGTAAGTATCATAGCCTTTGTTTTATTTACATTTAGCTTCAATTTATTAGTTTTTAAATATATAGCAATATTATGCAATGCTTCATTCATTTTTTCAAAATAGCTTTACCTATATGCATGAGTCCGTGCTATGACTGTGCTGCTGTGAACACCTATCAAGGTGAGCTCCAGAGATTTTCAATAGTTAGTGGTTTGTTTTTGTGACTTTCAATTGACCCTCTGATGTGAATA